GGTAGTGAGTTCATCCAGGTCACGAATTTCTATTTTAGCTTGTTCGGTCAGGGCTCTAACGTCTGCTATGCCATGTAGTGCAGCGTATTCTCACTATGGGCTGGGGCTCTACTTAGCTGCAATAGTAGGCTGCCATTTGCCGTTTTGCGCATGCCTTGGACATCATCGCGCATGCTTTGTAGGGTCGGGTCCGCTTTGACCACCCTCAGCAAGTCAGAAAATTAGCTATCGCCTATGCTTTTGACAATAATCGCCTCTGGTTTGGTGCGTCTCCTTTGCCCGCGACCTTTCACCTTTGACCAGGCGCTCTTCTTGGCGGTTGCCGGCTCCATGCTTGGCTGGCCGTCTTCGCCTCAACACCGAGCTGCGCAAAAAACCTATCTTCTCATCATCTACATCCACTACTGCAGTTGTTTTTTTTGTTTTGTTGTAATCATTGTTATTGGGTCCCAACTTGGATCCGTTATTGCTGTTCGTGCGTGTAGTTGTAGTGATCCCGTGGGTGCCTTTCTATGAGTGAGGTCCACGCGAGGGTTGACTTTGCTCTTTATGGGAAACAAAGTTCAGAGCCAGATCGGCACTAGTCAGGAATATACATCTGAGCCTACACAACCAAATAAATGGCGACGAACAGCAAGCGTTACTCGAGGCCTGCCATGGTTTTAGTGGGACGGGGGCAATGGTGGCATTAACCTACGAGCCATTTCGGTACGTACTTAGGTCGCAGAATACCAACATCGTCAGCTCGAATCGTCAAAAACATAAGGGGCTTCCAGTATACCATACGTAGCACGCTACTGGGCTCGGTGCTACGGAGAAAGTGATATTACGATGTGAGCGAGGCGACATACATGTTGCTTCGGGAGTTGAATCCCACGAGCCCCGTTTCTATGTTTTGGGCACGCCGTCAGTGCGTTAGGGGTCGGCTCGGCCAGTTCCGTGGCCTGGGTGCCCATTGCAACTCCTTTGCGGGTCATCTGGAGGCCAACGCTTCAACTGGAGGATCAACGTAAGAAGTGCCTTAAAGTAAACTATTATATAGTCGACGTATGGAGGCTTGCATTTTTGCATGCATCTACAAAATGTCGCTACTAGGTATATTTCCTCTACGGAGCGCCATAAAAAAATTTAAAATTTCGTAAAAATTCTAGAATTGTGTCGGCTGGTCACCGTATTTAATAGAACCACTATTTGCGGAGTTTGAACTGGCTCCTGTGGTTCGCTGTCGTTCCGCTGTAAGTTCCGCCAGGAACCACCTGTGGACTGGCTCCAATTGGAAATGAATCAGTTCCCATATGTTAGTAGCCGCGCTTCCTTGCAAAAATAATAGTGGTAATAAAAAAAAATTATAAAATTTTAGTGACTTCCACTAAAGGAATATGCAATACTCCGAAAGTCGCCACAGCGACAATCCCGTGGGAGGGAGGCAGCTAGCGTGTCAAATCAGGCCATATGAGTGTTTTCACCGACTGGAGAACATCAACAAGAGCGCTCGCGCCATATTGAGTGCCAAAAGCTCAATTTCTGAAATTGGCTCTGTTAAGGGAAACTATTGCCGCCCTCGTCTTCTGCATTTTAGGGGGCTCCAGTCCGCGCGTTGGTCTGAAGGGATCGATGCACCTTTCGGGCTACAAAAATGCTTGATCTTACCGGATCGTCGCCTCGCCGGCTCGGAGTACGACTGATTCCGAAACGCTCTCCATCCACCTGACGAAGAATGGCCTTGCACGCAGTCCGTCGGGCCCAGACTGTGTTACCGCTTCTCATGGTATGAGCCGCCATAATTCTACAGCTAGCAGTGCGAGGAGTGGAGTTGAACTTCTTCGGCGCCTTCAGGACCCAACACTACAACCTCACCGGACTCATGTAAGCAGCACTGATCCAGGTCACTATAGATATTTTTAGCACTTATTTGCGCCAATTTCCCGCAGGAAGAACAACATTATGGGGAGCTCAAAAATCTGCGTCCTCAAGCTACTGCACTCACAACGTAGACCTCGAATTTATTAAAATCCCTTCTACACTATGATAGGATACTTGAGACCAAAATTTCAGATTCATAGCTCTTGCCGTTTTGGGGTGTTGACGTGGTTTCCTTTTGTGCCCCAACATTTTTTTTACATGAAAACTCCCATATTTCAGTCCCCAAAATTTCAAGGAATCAAGTAAACAGTTTTTCTTGGAATTTTTCTGAGAGTATACAAATTAAGTTTGAAGTTAATCAGATGAAAATTATAGATTTTTCATACAAACGCTGGAGCCTGTTTTCCCCCTTTGGAGCTGGAATTTTCCAAAAGCCTTCTTAGTGGGCACTTACACTATGAAAGGATACTTGAGCCCAAATTTCAGCTTCCTAGCTTTTACCGCCAATCAGTCACTCAAGAAAAACTGTTTTATATATATATAGATATATGCACTGCTGTTGATCCAGGAATTTATGTGTTAAACAACTGGAAAACAACAACAAATGATGAAATCGCTAGGGCAAATATCAAAATATATAGTCAATATCCCTGACAGCTTTTCACACAAGTGAACGAGTTTTTTTTCACTTCTGGAGAAATTTTATAAGCGATGAGCTCGACTTCTTAGCTTATATATTAATGAGATTTGAATATTGTTTTCGTTTTTACATTTATTGGTTGTAACATTAAATATCGATGATGAAACATCGATAATGAAAGCGGCATTTGAATGCAGCGTACCATAACCAACCAGAAAGCAGGTTTTGGTCTTTCTTTTCTAATTTGCAATGAAAGAAGACGGAAGCAGGCGCCGCAATGCTCCGCCGCTATATGGAAACCGTAATGCTCGGCCCGATTTGGTGGTGGTGTAAGATGGTCACGGTGTTTCTTTATGCATATAAAAGCATTTCTACATAAGTACTTACACCACCATAAGCACTTCTTGTGCTTTTGCATTTGTACGTCAAAGTTCACATAAAGCTTCCAATGCAGTGCCAAAACGGGAAAGAAGAACAACTACGAATGTTGCTTTATTAATGTTAGGTTGCACACAAGTTTCCCCTTACTTTATTTTTCTAAAAAAGAAAGGCACACGCACACAAGGTAACGACAAATATGACATCTATATATATAAAACAGTTTGTCCTGACTGACTGACTGATTGGTGATCAACGCACAGCCCAAACGGCAAAGGCTAGGAAGCTGAAATTTGGAATCAAGTATCCTTTCATAGTCTAGGACCCCACTAAGAAGGGATTTTGGAAAACTCGAGCTCCAAAGGGGGGAAAACAGGCTCCAACGTTTGTATGAAAAATCTACAGTTTTCATCTGATTAACTTTAAACTTAGTATGTATACTCTCAGAGCAATTCCAAGAAAAACTGTATACTTGGTGTTTTGATATTGTTTTTGGGGCCTAAAATATGGGAGTTTTCCTGTAAAAAAAAATGTTGGGGCACAAAAGCAAACCGCGTCAACAGCCCACAGCCCACACGGCAAAAGCTAGGATGCTGAAATTTGGGCTCAAGTATCCTATCATGGTGTAGATGAGCACTAAGAAGGGATTTTGGAAAATTCGAGCTCCAAAGGGGGGAAAAATAGCTCCAAAGTTTGTTTGAAAAATCCGCATTTTTCAACCGATCGACTTAAAACTTAGTTTCTAAAATCAATTAAAGAATACAAACAATACTGCATACTCGGTTTTTTAAATTTTGTTGGAGCTTGAATTATTGGCGTTTTAATATTTATTCACTATTTCAAATGAAAAGTTTGTATTATAAATTTAGTCCGATCGATTTAAAATTTGGATAATGTAATCTACGTAAATAAATCTACAACTTTGCATTCAAGGATTTTCAAAATATGCATTTTACAAAAGCAGGCAGAACAAACAATACAAAATACCAAACAGTTGGGGACAACTAAGTATACATACACACACATACAAACAGCTGTTCGTGTAGTTGCGTGCAAACGATTGAAATAGCCAAAATGTGAGACACTAATGTGTGAATGTCCATAGATACATATGTATGTGCACATCTATGTATGTACATATGTATCTACATATGTATGTATGTATGTGCATTCGTCTTGCACTGACAGAGCAAGAAATGTTAATTAATTGAAAATTATATAATATAACATTTTTAAAAGTAATTTTTTCTTTGTTTAGTAATGTATACATTGGGCAATCGAACACAGTTGTTTGATTGAAAAAATAATGCTCTAAAAACAACAACAACTGCAAGTCATTAGCTCGCTCTTCTTCTTTCGTTTTGACCATTTAATGTTAATTGCAAAGGCAAAACGCCAAAATGTTACAGTTACCGTCGCTAGGCATCGGCTGCGTAAGCGATAGTAAAGCACAAACCGAATAACGGAGCTACGCATATTCTGCTTCGCATTGCGGGCAGATGTATGTATATATGTATATGATTTGTTCTTATTGATCTCAATAAATAATTCGATTTCATTATTTAAATATTCTGCTTATTGCATTCAAACTTCGACATTTTGATGGTATCGGTGCCAGTGGTTTTTGATCGTGGCTCATCGCTGCACGGCATTGACACGAATGCCGTGTTTTATATTCCGAGTTTGTGCGTGGCCGTACTGACTCAATATGGCACGAAAAGACTCAAATGTGAATTTAAATTTGGACTCAAGTATCGTTTCATAGTATCTATCATATCAGCACACTAAGAAAGGGTTTTGGAAAATTTTAGCTCCAACGGGGGGAAAACGAGCTTTAAAAAATATTAGTTATAGTGGTCATGTTCGTTTAACGAAATAGTTTGTCAAGAACAAAAATGTAACGGACTACTGAACAATTTTTTGTCAAGAACAGAAAATGTTCATTTAAATACCTTAAATGCCTTCCTACTGGTAACCTTTAAGGTGAAAACATATGGGTAAGTTATGCACACACAAAATAAATACAATTGGAAACATATTGGGCCGGGTTAAGACGGGCAATACCTGCTAGTAATAAATACTCGTATAATACAAAGTCGATTAATTGATATTTACTTACCATCAATTTTAGCCTTGTTAAAAGCGAAAGGACTTTTTGAGAGTTGCTTCAGGACACCTTTGAATATGTCTCCAATTGAACGCGTAATAAATGAGTTTTTTTCCAAAAATTTAATTATAGCGGCATTAATGCGATAAAAAATTTCAAGGGCTTCAACTGATAAAGTTGTTGGATTGTTATGGTTGATTTTAATTGGATACGTAGCACTACATTCATACAAATAATTCGAGGCCTACAAGAAATAAATAGAGTTAATTAATGGTTTAAGGATGTGTATGTATATACTGTATGCTTTATTTAATAGTTTGAAAATATGTATCTACAGTAATGAGTTGCAGTTTTAGCAACGATACCTCGCTGGCCAGGTAGCAGTCGGCCCATGCCGAAAGGCATTAAATTAATATTATTTTTAAAACTAAATTTCTCTGAAATTCGGCAAATAAAAACAAAAGAAGAACGCTATAGTCGAGCGAGCTGAACTCTTAAATACTACCCCACAAAAAAATGTATTAATGAAATTTTAATTAATTTAATTAAATATAAAACATTTAACACATGCATATACACATACGTTAACATTTGTGTACAATTTACATCAGCATACATTTACATCAAATAGTGTCTAAGCGTGTTTGTGTACTTGTCCATATGTATGTATGCAGCACAAAGTTGAACCAAAGCAGCAACAACAACAACAGATGCGGGTAGAGCTTCGATACAGAATATATACACTTTATACGTTCTTCCACGGCTCCTTCTGCCTGTTACATACATTCGCACATTTAAGGTATTTCTAAAAAACATATTCCGTTACATTTTTGTTATTGACAAAAAAATTCGTTAGTCGTACACACACATGACCACTATAACTAATATTTTTTTAAGCTCATTTTCCCCACCTTGGTGCTTGCATTTTCCAAAAGCCTTTCTTAGTGCGAATCTACACTATGATGGATACTATGAAAAGATTCTTGAATCCAAATTTAAGCTTTGGGCTGTGCGTTGATCACCAATCAGTCAGGACAAACTGTTTGATATAAAGAGATAACACAATGTCTTAAGATAGGCTATATGCAACAAAGGGGAATAATTATAAGAGAATATCCTAATTAGAAGGAGGCGTGGCAGACCCCACAAAGTATATATACTATTGATCAGCATGACAAGACGAGTCGATCTATTTCTGTCTATCTGTCTGTCTGTCGACTGTCTGTCCGTATGAATACCTTACCGGAGGCTTAAAGAGCTAGAGACACCAAATTTTGCATAAAGAAGCTTTATGTGTATACGCTGTGGAAGTTTGTTTTATTTTTTTGATTTTCCCCCCTATGGGGGTTTTTCCGATTTTCCATTCGTATAATCGCCTATATCTAAGAGACTATAAGACCTACGGACACTAAATTTTAGTCCCAGAGGTCTCATGAGAATACGCAGAAAATGTGTATTTTGGAATTTCCCTCCCTCCCCCCTCTCCTCTGCAAATCGCGATGTTCTCTAACTGCCGTAATTCTTGGAATTTTGAACTAAAATTTTGCAAATACCCCAGTTAGTTCACTATGATAGACCGATTTAACAAGAAGTTATAGCCATTATTACTATTAAATGTGCAATTATACACCCGTTACGTGAGTTAAAGTACCAAGAGAGCTAAAATCCATTAAATTTTTTTTTCTTAATTTTTATAATTTCTATAAATATTTTACACATATGTACAGAGTATATCAATGTTGGGACACCTGACTTTAGCTTTTTCAATTGTTGAATACAATAGTTAATTTTTCGTAGGTGGGTGTTGGTTTGGACTCCGATTTTTTAAGACTGAGTGATTTGTCAGCGTTATCATTAACCACGAAAGCAGGCTTGAGTCTATCGATGGAAATCGCTACTTCTTTACTATCTTTCTTGACAATAAAGACACGATAATTTTATCTTAGTGATAAAAAGATCAGCATTAGCAGCATTACTGTGTTCCATATAGTATTTCTGCGGCAGACGCCTTCAAATCGTGTTTGTAGCATGACCGGAATCCAAGTAGCACAGTAGGTAGTATTTCCGTCCAGGGAAAATCAGAATGGCACATAAGCGCTGTTTTGAAACATTTCTGCCATCGTTCAATAGGGCCATTTGATTGTGGATGATAGCGCCCTATCATGAATATGTTGTCACCAATCAATTTTATAATTTTTGCTTCAGGCCAGCGTGAAAATCGGTCAATTATCGTTAAACAATAACGAAAACCTTGTTAAAGTGGCAATACGGCTATGTCCGTGTAATCATGCTCAGACGTGTTGTCGGGAACGCCAATTTTTCGAGGCTGCAAAGTAATATAATAAGTCTTTGTTCATATGGCCAGACATATTCTTTCCATATTCGGACTTGCTGTAAGTTCCAAAGATCTTAAATGTAAACCGTGTATGAGCGAACATATTGTGTTGTGCCGCAACCCCAATTGTGCCAACATAGGATTGTTAATAAGTGCACAAATCACATAGGTATTTATTAACATCCAATTCCACATATAATTTGCCTATACACGCTTAAGTTGAGACACTACACACGGTGCGCCTATTTGTATTCCTATCTCTCTCTCTCTCTCCCTCAATTATCCAAGCCGTGCACTAAACACAAAATTCAAAGTATTAAATTGCATCGCTTTGCTTGCTACCATCTATTGTTTATTTGCTTCTGCATTATTATATTGCATATAAGATTTCTGCCCAAATAGCAATATTATTCCTCACACAGCCCAAACCAGCTACAATTATATATTTTTTGGGCTTCTTTCGTTTGTGTTGGTCGCTAGACTTTGCAGCGCTTAAAATAAGCTGGCTCCTCTGCCCGTCCACATTTTCACCACGCCTTCGCTCTTCGGTCGTTCTTATCGCTCTCTGGCGCTCACACCCATACACATACACACAGAAAAACGTCTCGCTGCAGCAGTGCCTTGGCGGCGTCAGTTTGAACGCAGATGAAACAATAAGCGTGTTGACTGACCGCCAGCTGTTCCTCTCCGCAGCGTTGATGCATACGGACCGGGTGTTGCGATTTTTATGTATGCTCCTGCCCTTGCATTTTTTATACTCTGTACATGAAATGTACAAGAGTATATTAGGTTTGCGCGAGCTGAAAAATGTAACAGGCAGAAGGAGGCGTGGCAGACGAGACGAGTCGATCTAGCCCTGTCTGTTTGTCCGTCTGTCCGTCTGTCCGTCCGTCCGTCCGTATGATCACCTAGATCTCAGAGACTATAAGAGATAGAGACACAAAATTTTACAAAAAGATGCCTTATGTGTGTACGCTATACGAGTTCGTTTTATTTTTTTGATTTTCCCCCGCCTCACTTCCCCCTTATGGGGTTTTTCCCGATTTTCCATTCGTATAATCGCCTATATCTCGGAGACTATAAGACCTAGGAACACCAAATTTTAGTCCAAGATGCCTTGTGTGAATACGCAGAAAATGTTTATTTTGGAATTTCCCTTCCTCCTCCCTCTCCCCCGCAATTGCTACCATCTATTGTTTTTTTGATTCTGCATTATTATATTGCATATAAGATTTCTGCCCAAATAGCAATATTATTCCTCACATAGCCCAAACCAGCTACAAAGTCCGGACACCCGACTTTAGCTTTTTACTGTTTTTTCTTTTTAAATTTGTGTTTTTTGTTTTTGTGAATTCCGACACTCAACTATTCGCGTTCTGTAGCCCACATATATATTTGGATATCTCCGTTAAATTTGTTTCGGCACTTGGGCGAAATTTCAACATATATTTTAATAAATTATATTTTTCCCTCGGGATTATTTGCAAATTATACATAGTTTGTACAAGCGTTTATTTTGGATCCAAGACCGGCGTTGATTAAAATACATTTTCCCCTTTTTTGCCTGCGCAAACTATTTATATATTTTTTTCTTTTCGCAATAAAAAAATAAATTTTACGAAAGCAACTCTAGGCTTTCCATTCGTATTGCCATACAATATAATCAGTCCAAGTCCGTTTTACAAGGCTTATTATGCCAGCAGGGTAAAACTTCAGAGGGACAAAACATAGCTGACCCATCTTCAAAACCAGCGCTAGCTACGCTAAGTGTTCCATCCGCCTCAACGTCAAGGGCCGGTCCCACTCAGTCGCTCACAGCAAGCGCGAGTTCCAAGGCTTCTGTTCCCGAAGCCACGACTGCTCCTACTGAGAAAAAAAGGACTAGATCCGTATCTCACAAATCCCGATCCTCCGGCCAAATGGCGCTCAACACTTTTCTCCTCGTGAGCGACAAATTAAGTGCTTTCCAGGCTACTATGTCGGCTTCCTCGACAGTAGAGTCACGCCTGTATGTTCTCAATATCCGGAGAGACCAGGTCAAGGCGTTATGGGCCCAAATAGAGCAGGAGTGCAATCGATGCACGACACCATTAAGTGCGGTGAGCACTGAGGAAAGTAGGCATGCAGTCGTCCTCAAGAAGTACGAGCACTGCCATCTAATTTATGAAAGGTGTGCAGCCAAGCTCAGCGAGAGCATTGACACCCTTTCCGACGCCAGTAAGCCACCTAGCCAGCTCTTACTGTCGATTCATCTTTCGATGAGCAACAGAGGCTGTTCCCTCCCTCCGGTCGACACTGAAGTTTTCAGTGGCAATCCTTTATGGTGGCCTAATTTCCGTTATCTATTCACTGCAGTTTATATTAATAATCCGAGGCTCACTCCTATTGAGAAACTTTTCAATCTCAATGCCAAAACGACTGGCCATTGTTTCAAAGTCCCTACTCACTGACGTCTTTGAGTCCGCTTGAGAGAATCTAAAAGAGCAGTTCGAAAATAAAAGACTGCTGGTTAATAGCCAGCTAAACCTTTCCACAATCGGCCAAGAGTCTGGAGCAGCTGTCAAAGGGTTTCAAAGCACCTTTTAAGGGTGTCTCACTGCTTTGGAACATTCCAAGGTCACACGGAAAACTGGGACCCTATTTTGTGCTTCTTCTGCGAACGCAAGCTTCCCAAGATCACCCGAGCTGTCTGGGAGCAATCCTTAAAAAGCAAAACAGAAGTTCCAAAATGGGTGGATCTCAGCATTTTTCTGGTTGAACGCTAGCGCACCCTTAAGGCAATGGGCGACGAGAGGTCCAGCTTTCAGGACCAAAGCCATTCCAAGCCTCAGAGAAGGAGCGGGGTGCCTAAAAAACTAAATTCGTTTGAGACACAGGTGAGCGTGAAACCACCCTCATCCAACAAAACCAAGCCACTGGCATGCAAGATATGTTCGAAGGAGAACCATGCCATCCGAATGTGCCCTCGTTTTCTGGCAATGTCCATCACCGACCGGATTGCTTGCATCAAACAGCAACAATTGCGCCTAAATTGTTTTGCGAGAGCGCATCAGCTACGAGAGTGTAGCAGTGCGCACACTTGTTTCAGGTGCAAAGAGTGCCACCATACATTGCTGCATCGTGGTGCTCCTCCATCATCGACCCCAGCTACAAGCACATCCACGCACGATGTAGCTGCTGCAACATGTTGACGCAACGGCGATGTTGACAATCTGTGCAATCTTATGATTGTTGTGCCTTCGAAACCAAGGCTGCAAATAGAGATTCAGCCTGCGTTCTTCCAAATTTGGCACGTCTTGTACAATCCCGCACGATGCTTTGAGGGACCTGACAAAATTACGTTTGGCTGACCTTTTCTTCTTCCAAAGCTCGCCAGTAGATATTCTCATCGGTGCGGATATGCTTCCATCAATATTATTGGACGGTCTCCAACGGAATATTTGCGGCACACTATTGGGTCAGGAGACTATCTTCGGTTGGATATTGACCGGCCCAGTAGCGACTTCCAAAGCCAAGTCCATTTCGTCCTTCTCCACGCAGATTGCGCACAAGCTTCCTTTTAAGGTTGGGGAGGCGGAGGACATGTGATGCTAACAAGCACGGCAGCTTTTTTAAAAATTGCAGTCATCAGCCAAGGATGAGTCGACGCCTATAGATTACAGCCACTTCCGCATATACATCCACAGCCTCAAGTGCTGCACCAGACACACCCCAACATGCGTTCTTTCATACATGATTTGCTTTGCCCTTACGTGCATCTCTTTCTTAATACCTATAGCACCACGCAAGAGCCGGTCGCGCGAGCGCAAGCGTCGCTCAGGAGTGGTCTCAGGACAGAAATGGTGTGACGTCCGCGTGCTGATTGACTCCTGCAGCCCGTTCAGCCGTATCAGCAAATCCTTCGCGAAAGGCCTAAAGCTGGCCTTCCACCGAACTGGAGGTGATCCTGAAGGTGGAGGCTATGGTCCAGTAAAGGACTCCCTCAGCTGCAGTGGGCGAGCCAGTCCGACGCCACTTCACGCCCCTGTCGCTGGCGGTAATGTTTATCCGAACATCATCCAACAAGGGCTGGTGCCGGGTCAAACTGCATTTCCTGTTGCCCAGAATACTGCCTTTGGGTGGATTCTGCAGCAGCTGAGGACTACCTATTCCGTTACCACTTGCTTTTGCAATGTATTGCAAGGGGGGCTGAATGTTTGAGCAGGAGAGCGCACAGTCCGCTAGTCGACCGCTGCGGACACAATTCCACCACACCGGCGATCCCCTAGCATAGCCTTAGAATAAGCTGAGATTAGGTTTAGTTTTTGGTATTCACCTTGTACTGCAATTGTGAGTTTGCGCATGTGCGCCCCCAAAGTGAACTTTTATTGAATGAAATAAACCATACATCAAATCAAATCATCCAATTTGTTCGCATTTGGCTACGATACGGCATCCACCCCTTTACATAGTCATAATCATGCCTCAACCACCGTATTCACCACAATTGGTGAGGTAAAGTCAGAATCGAAGAAGGAGCTGATGGCCATACCGAAAAGCGCATTTCAAAAGTGCTTGTTTTTAATAAAGTTATTGCTAAAGTGAAAAAGTACTTAATGCAAAAGAATATGATTTCGTATTTACTTGTATTTAAACTTACCGTTAAATAATAATTCAAGTAATCGGCGGGATGTTTAGCCTGCTTTTCAGAAATTTTTCCTAACATATAGTGGCAAAGCCATTTCTCATCATTTGTATCCGTAGCTAGGCTTTCCGAGCATTGTAATGTAGAAGCTACTGAAAAACAATTGTAAGCTATGCTCATCATTTTTTCTTGTTTTTCCCTGAAATATCGCATGCTGAAATGAAAATATTTTTAAAATCTTTATTATTTTATAGTTCTTACAAGTATGTAAGTAAAATAAGTAACGTAAGAATTGTTCAATAGAAAAATCTATAGTAATAAAGAAAGATATATTCATAAGTGTACCTGTTGTTTAAATGATTGGTGATCAACGCACAGCCAAAACGGTAAAAGCTAGGAAGCTAAAATTTCGACTCATGTTTCCTTTTATGGTATAGTACACAGTAGCACACTGTTACCCAATCGATTTTAATTATTTTTATAGCCTGTACCCAAAGTGCAAAAGGCTATATTAGTTTTGTGCGAATGTATGTAACACACAGAAGGCGGCGTGGCAGGGACACAAAGTATATATATTATTGATTGATATATTAGGTATGCATGAACCTAACAGTATAATCTGAAATGTAAACAAACTTGGTGTTCGATGTTTAATTTATGCTTGTATACATGTGTATACGGTAGTCCAATTTTAAGGACCGATAAATTACATAATATTACTTTTTCGCAAAATATTAATTTATTTTATGCATCATTAAGATTGTCATTTTTTGGATATGCGCTTTCCATCCAAATCCCTTGATTTTTTCAACAATTAAATACATATATGTTCATAACACAATGTATTAAGATAGACTTTGTGCAAAAAACTGGAATTAGAGTATTGCCTAACTTTAAATTATATTTTGGTCGTGTTGTTTTTGTTTCTATCGGATTTTCAAGTTCGTGTCTTTTCGTGCTTTATTGTGTCAACACGAACACGCACATAATTTGAATATGAAACACGGCCCTCGTATCCACGCAGTGCAGCGATGTGCCAATAATAAGTAAAAAAACTAAAGTCGGGAGTCCCAACTTGAAATACTCTGTGCATATGTTAAAAATAATTATAGAAAATACAAAAACTAAGAAAATAAAAGAAAAAAAATTTGGATAATTTTACCTCGGTATTCGAACTCACGTATCGGAAGTATAATTGCACATATACAAAGCAATTGTGTCTATGTGAGTGTATGAATGCCTATGTGCATCTATTCGTGACTGTGTGAACATGTTAGCAGTCAACCAAACAGCAACATCAACAACAGCTGCGGGCAGCGCTTGAGCAACGCTTGAGCACCGCTTGAGCAGCGCTTGGGCAGCTCTTGAGCAGCAAATATATTTATGGATATAACTTCTCGTTAAATCGGTCTATCATTGTGAAACTTGGCATACGGACACATAATAACTAACTGGGGGTATTTGCAAAAATTTTAGTTCAAAATTCCAAGAATAACGGGAGTTTCGATTTGCGGGGGAGAGGAGGGAGGGAGGGAAATTCCAAAATACACGTGTTCTGCGTATTCACATAAGGCATCTTGGACTAAAATTTGGTGTCGCTAGGTCTTATAGTCTCCGATATACTATACTTTGTGGGGTATGCAACGCTTCCTTCTGCCTGTTACATTTTTCAGCTCCCGCAAACTTAATATACTCTTGTACATTTTATGTACAGAGTATAAATAGTGAAGTTTTTTTTTATATTCTTTTATAGATCCCAAAACCAAATTTGAAGTTCATCGGTGAAAAACAGAAGATTTGTCAAATAAACTTTGGAGCCTATTTCCCCTCATTTGGAGCTCGAACTTTTCAAAATTCGTTACAGTTTGGGCTGTGAGCTGTTGACGCGGTTTCCTTTTGTGCCCCAAGAAAGCCCCAATAATTCACGGTCCAAGAAAAAATTTAAACAACATAGTATGCAGTTTTATTTGTATTCTTTTATTGAAACAAACTTTTCCGCCTTTGGAGCTCGAAAAATCCATTCTTAGTGCGTGTCTACACTATGATCGGATACTTGAGCCCAAATTTCAACTTCCTAGCTTTTACCGTTTGGGCTGTTGGCGCGGTTTTTTTTTTACCCCAACATTTATTACAGAAAAACTCCTATATTTCAGGCCCCAACAAAAATTTCATAAATTCAAACATTTTCCAAGATTTTACCGTTTGGGCTGTGCTTTGATCATCAATCAGTCAGGACAAACTGTTTTTTATATATAGATAACGTACCTGGCTGCATTTTCTGATGTTGCTTTTTTCAAGTTCCTGGAGCAGTAGGAGCTGATGGAGTAAGCAAAAGATCCATATTCAATCCAAATTAGTATATGAGTTTGCATTAGGCCAATGCATTTTTCAAAACATCGTATAACTTCTTCACATTCAAGAATAATCTGAAATGGACTGAAAGCAATTTTAAATAGATTTTCGACAAAAATAACAATTAAAAGATAAAAATATTGATTTCAGCATCACTACAGCAAACTTTATAAGAAAAATGGGCGCATATTAAGGAATTTTTTTAAGTAGTCAAAAACCTGCTGTGGTCAATAAAATTATCGCGTCCAAAAGCCGGTGGGAAGCACGGTGATTGGAAATCGGGTTTGCATGTCGCCAGCTGTCACACCTCGATCATGTGTGGAGGTGCAACGGTCTTTGAAAAGTAACTGCCACGAAGAAGGCCGTAAATGAGCGTAAGAAGTTGCATAGAAGCAGTGCCGTCTCTAGACAGAGGCCGAGGGCAATCAATTATTTTTCCCGGTACCGGAAGGTTCAAGTACCTCTCGCAAGGTCGGACCCAAAAGAACTGATTAGAAGGTGAAAAAATTCTAACGTGTAAAACCCGATAACAAGGGTCAACACAACTGCAAATGTACTGCAAATGAACAGAGTGGCCGAGGATTTACTTTTCCCAAAATATGGGAGGAAGGCATGGGTCAGAAAAGATCAATCGCAGAAGCCGAGTCTCCTGCTGAAGAAGGTAACACAACATCGGCAAATCGGCGATAGAAGCCACACAGCGATGCAGCGATGAATTCTCCGACTTGTACAACTTCCTGTTAAATCGGCATATCATTATGAAACTTGACGAACACATAATCACTATCTAGAATGATATTCTGAATTTCAATTAAAAATTTCACGGGAAAGGGGGGAGGGAGGGAAATTCCAAAATTCACATTTTCTGCATATTCACATAAGGCATCTGGTACTGGTGTCCCTAGGTCTTAGTCTCCAAGATATAGGTGATTATACGAATAGAGTTACGGAAAAACCCCATTATCGGGGAAATCGGGGGGAAAATAAAAAAAAAAAACTTGCGCAGCGTACATACATAAGGCATCTTTGTGCAAAATTTGGTGTCTCTAGCTCTCATAGTCTCTGAGATCCAGGTGCTCATATGCACTGTTATCACTGCAAAATGTCAATTCACCATCATCTGAGTCATGAACAAACCACCACATGATATTCTAAAATGGACATCATGCGTCGAATGAAGATATTAGACCTATAACTCATGGTTGACATAGATGATAAAGGGTACACTTCACTTTTATTCCTTTTTCCATTTAGTTAATAAATGCAGAATAGCTGTAACTATAATTAAGTATGGTAGCCTTTAATCGATATCTAAATACGAGGGTCAAGTTAACACCTCTCACCATATATTTATTGTTCAAAACGGCTGAGGATATACATATGTCTGTTCTTATCCATTAATTATCATGCTATTTAAATGCGCTGAAGTACAATTTCATTGACACACATGATAGATTATTATATTTGATCTCCTAAACAAAGATACTGTAAAAAAACTATGTGTATTATAAGTATCTATATACACGAAATTTAAAAAATAAATGTACTTACTCAGTCTTTTGAAATCCATTAATTTTTGTGTCAATTATGCTGGCTTTTGAAAGAGATATTCCAGCCCATGAATCAAAGCGACTCGTATTTACAGCTAAATCGTCCATATAATAAGTAATTGCTTTAATAAAGTCATGGGATTTGAAATAGTAATCGGCGACCAAATAAAATATATTTTTAATTTTAAATGGTAAGTGCACACATTTCGACGATAATTTAATAGAAGATCCTGATATAAACTCTTTTATATTACGAGTTCCAAAGTCCATGTCCACGTTCCCTGGTAACAACTTTATTACGTTTTGTAAGAATTGCTCCATATCCGACGTTATAGATTCAACTTTGTATGAATTGAACTCGGGTAAGATATCAGGAGCATAAATGAAAAAAATGTCCAAAGCATTTTCCCATGTTAGTGCTATTTGTTTTGAGTTATGTTCCTCCAGATGTCTCGACCGTGCTCTTTTTGGTGGGAATCCATACATACAATATGTAACCTGAAACCAAATATAAGTAGGATTATATTATTTTTTAATTGTGTTGCTTATTGAAATGATTATTCAATTGGACATTGAATAGCAATAAAAAGCAATTACTGGACTACATAGCAGGTGATCGGAATCTAAGTGACTTTTTGTTGTTGCTTACCATCAGTGCATTCACTTTTCCTTTATAGGAACAACAAAAACAATATTTTTTCCTTACCGACTGCGCCCTTTTACTGGATTAAACAAGTAAAAAAGCTAAAGTCGGGTGTACCGACTTTGAAATACTCTGTACATATGTTTACAATAATTATAAAAAATAAAAAAAATTAAGAAAAATAAAAAAAAAAAATTTTATCGATTTTACCTCTCTCGGTATTCGAACTCACGTAAAGGGTTTATAATTGCACATTTACATAGCAATTGCGTCTGTGTGAGTGTATGTATGCCTATGAGCATCTATTCGTGTCTGTGTAAACATGTGTGCAGTCAACCAAAGCACCAGCATTAACAACAGCCGTGGGCAGAGCTTGAGTAGAGCTTGAGCAGAGCTTGAGCAGCGCTGCAGCAGCAAATATATTTATGGCTATAACTTCTTGTTAAATCGGTCTATCATAGTGAAACTTGGCATACGGACACATAAAAAGTAACTGGGGGCATTTGCAAAATTTTAGTTCGAAATTCCAAGAATTACGGGAGTTAGAGAAAATCGCATTTGCGAGGTAGAGGGGGGAGGGGGAGGGGCAAATTCAAAAATATACATTTTCTGCGTATTCACATAAGGCATCTGGGACTAAAGTTAGGTGTTCCTAGGTTTTATAGTCTCCGAGATATAGGCGATTATATGAATGGAAAATCGGGAAAACCCCCATAGGGGGGAAGTGGGGGGAAAATCAAAAAAATAAAACAAACTCGCATAGAATACACACATAACGCATCTTTGTGCAAAATTTGGTGTCTCTATCTCTTATAGTCTCTGAGATCCAGGTGTTCATACGGACGGACAGACGGACAGACAGACAGACAGAATATATATACTTTGTGGGGTCTGCCTCGCCTCCTTCTGCCTGTTACATTTTTCACTTCCCGCAAACCTAATATACTCTTGTACATTTCATGTACAGAGTATAAAAATTCAACTTTTAGTGGTGACGTGTTGAAATTCTTACAGAGAGTCAAAACATATCAATTCCCGAATTTTTTGAATAAAATCTTTGCTTTAAATCGATTAAAAACATTTTAACTAATTTCTTTGAATGCGTGTGCTTGTGCTATTCATAGAGCGTTTCAACGAAAAGTTGAAAGTCCTGCGAGTTTGGCCATAAGCTTGGTGAAAATTTATATTAATTTATATAAATTGTATAAAAACGAAGAAAAATGGGACGCTTGCTTTTAACTTTAACTTTAATATAGAAAAGTACGAAACGATGCGGTGGCGATTGGGCGCGAGGCGACGTCCGCAAACGGCCGCTCTCGCGCTCTCTTTTCGCCCTAAACTAAAATTCAAATATTTCTCTTAAACTATCCTAAACTAAAACAGCATCTGTGCCAACACTTGGTTCAATGGACCTTCCAGTGTGACGACGTTGGTCACGGGAAATGGGCCCGGTTTATTGGCCGGGTAACTGACTACTTAGGCAAAAATATTGGCTTAATCTGGTTTTCTGAAAAATGTCGTAGTATTGCTGCCGAAATGCGTCAGTTTATGAAGCATAATAGTATAAAAGTGCCGAGTTTCAAGTTTTCCACGAAAAATTTGTATCGTTGGAAACGACGTTTCTTGGTCTTAAGCTACTGTCCGAGTCTCCAAAAATGAAGAAACGAAACTTAACTATATCCCAGCCCAACAAACGTGTAATCCCGGATAACAACACAAATTGTGCATCACTTTCTACACCGGCTAACCCAAACCTATCCTTGAAACATTTGCTACACCTTCCACGTCTTCTCTTGGGTAGAGCGCCTCATCTTCGCGATCTCTTACTATTTCTATAACCAGCGAAGAGGTTGTTCTGAGTGCTTCTTCAGCCACGTCAATTGCCAATACTATTACCGACGTGAATGCTGCCGTTGACGCCAGTGATTCTATCGCGGATTTTCCTGTTACCGCTGGCTGTTCTGCGGCGGTTCCCATCACTGCTACTCCAAGACGCCCGACTTCTTCTTCTGCTCTTCATGATCCTGGTGCCTTATTTGGTGTCCCGCCACACCGTCGATTTTTGTATTGTATGCCATCAAACTGCACATTTGCCAAAACGTTCCTTCTTACTTAGCAGATGACGTTTTAGTTTCGAAATTCATGTTTAAGTATAAGCGTAACATTTCTTCATTCAAAATTTCTGTTCCTGATAATATATTTAAAATAATCGTTGTAATCTAAATCAGTTAATTCTAAGAAAAGTTATTAGCGAAACAAATTGTCTGGCCGTTAGCCGATGGGTATCACAAGGGGATCAACGTGTAATCACCAATTTGTGATACACCACTGGTAGTGCGACCATACTCTCATCGCGAGGGCAGCTGGAAGCAGGCCCCTGGCACGATCATGTCTCTGCCAGATGGTGCTGACTAATGGTAGTCGGACGAGAGCTGAAAACTCTATAAACTTATCCAATCCAAAGCGGAACAGCGTAGGCTAATGGATACGTGGCTGAGCGGGTGCTTAGCCTATGCGAACTCTGGACACCTGCCGACCTCCAGTTTTAAGTCAGGCTTCCTCTGGTACCCGGGCTATGCCACGGGTGACCCACCCCTTCCCGTCTACTCGTGGGACCAAACATGCAACCTTTCAAAAAAACAAAACCTAACAAAACTAACAAAAACACTGAGACCGGATCTCGTCATAAACCGGACGGGATTTCTAATCCCTCAAACCAAACGGTCATAGACTTGACTGTCACCAGGGAACTCCAGGGAACTCCCAACAGCTCCCATCCCATTGCTGCCAGTGCAGGTGGAGACAATCAGACAAGCCAATCGGTTGTCTCAGAATCTGGAGAGCAGCAGACACCCTCCACCTCGAATGCGAAGCAGCTAAGCCAGCAGTCGAAGGGGAGGTTGCTGGTAACTCTGCAGTGCCAGGCACTTCGGCGATGCCACCAACAAAAACAAAAACGACGTTTCTTGTCAAAAGACGCGCAGCAGACATACTGCAAAGGTCTCAAATGGAGAACCACCACCGATCTGCGATGATGCAGGCTGGCATCAGGGCAGAGTCAAGGCCATCGCTTGTCACGACAAGCGGTCGGCCGAAGCGTATAAAAAATCAATAGCAGCGCTTGGTGAAGTGTACCCATGTGCAAAATTAGTAGCAGTGGACTGGTTTGACATACCCAGTAGACATCGTGCCAGGTTCAGGGTATCGGCCAAACCAGAAAAGCCAGAAGAGATCCGGAGTGTTTCAGATCTGCAACCCTAGTTTGAAAACGGACGACTGGAGCGCGGTCAAGGTAGGAGGCGGAAGGGACCACGCGCCAGATCGTACTAATTATCAATAAGGAATCGGTGGACGAGCTGGCCAGATGTGGAAATTTGGGCAGGTATGGCTACAAATCGGATATCCTTGAAGGATATTCCTCCGACACCTCCGAACTGGCGAAAGGGTTCGCTACTTTAGGCCACGACGATGACGACTTCATCCTGGACGTCGACGAGGCCGATAGGACAGTGGTGGAGATAGAGGTAGATGCCCTTGAGGAACCTTGGGTCCGTAGGGGCAAGGTTTCTGGATTGGGGACGAAGGAGTATAAACTGATTACAGCGAAAAGCTCAGACAAGACCAGAACCTTAATCAAGAAAAACATAAACATTTTTCTGCTATCCAATTTTAGTGATGAAGATAACACAGCGGCATGCATTGAGGCTAGGCCAAAGCCTCTAAGAATATTCTCAGTCTACATGGCTTACGAGAAAGCTAACCCTCCACCTCTGTTGACAAGACAGATAATAGAGGACAGCAGGCAGAACAACATAGATCTGCTCATAGGATGCGATGCCAACACTCATCACAGTCAGTGGGGTAGCACTGATACCAATGTACGGGGTGAGTTCATTTTTACCTACATCCTGTCTACTAACATATTTTTATGTAATGCTGGATCAGATCCAACTTTTGTGGTAAGGAACCGAAGCCAGGTTCTTGACCTCACTTTGGCGTCAGACGCACTTTACAATCGTATTTCCAAATGGAGAGTCCTATTAGAACACTCCTTCTCAGACCACAAAAACATTCAATTCGAAGAATCTCTAAAGAATGAAAGACCAATCGCGGCTAGAAATCCTAGACGCACAAATTGGTCTTTGTATTCTAATCATCTAAGTAATATACTTCCAAACTACCCTCCCGAGGGCCCAGATACAGTTGAATTCACCTCGACGCTAATAAATCAATTCACCACAGCGTGCGATATCGCGCTGCAGAAATCATGCCCCACTGGGAAACCATGAGGCAAACTCAAGCCTCCCTGGTGGACTCCACAGGTCAGTGAGTCAAGAAAAAAGGCCAGGAAACTCTTCAATGCAGCCAGATCCCAAGGGGGAGAGCAACACTGGTATGCATACAAACAAAGCCTGTCAGAATACAAGAAAATGCTCAGACAGGCAAAACGATCTTCATGGCAGAACTTCTGCTCAGATATCGAGAACACCTCCGACGCCGCAAGGTTAAGGAAGGTCCTCTCAAAAACTCCCTCAACGCTAGGTTACCTTCAGAAGCCAGACAAGACTTGGGCGACCTCGAGTCAAGCGTCTCTAGAGCTGCTTCTAGGCACCCATTTTCCCAGCTCTACAAGCATCAAACCAACCAGCTATTCAGCAAGCGCGGGTCCATCTCAAACGCCACCCTATCTACTATCTGAAAATAATAATAGATGTGCAATAAAAAGCTTCAAGCCCTATAAGTCAGCAGGACCGGATAACATCATTCCGGCGCAGCTAATTCACGCAGGAAATACTGGCATCAGATGGCTGGCAGAGAATTGTTACAAAATCTTCCTGACAAGGAATATCCCAGA